CCGTTTCTTTCTAACAAACCTTGGCGAAAAAAAAAAAAACATTTTTTACTCAACCTTTGTACAATGCATGCAGGAGAGTGACCCCCGCAAAATTCATTTAGAAGGAACTGCCAAAAAATCCCCACATGCGGATGATGTTGGCCAGGGTTCACCGCTATGAAATGGGCACTTTGAGACCGCCTTCCAACCGGATCGTTCGCGTCTGTGTGTGGACCTCCACGCCTTCCCATAGCTTTACCGCAACCAAGGTGTCCATTTTTAAAAATATATGAAAGATGATGATCATAATAAGGTGTTAAATGAAGGGATTGTTACTGTAATACAGAAGGTTTGATGCATGCTGTTATATATCCAGTATATATATATATATATATATATACTGTATATATATATGAATTAAATATGATGAAATCCACCAAACTTGTCACAGTCTGCTTGCACCTCGATCAAATTAATCAAAATCACAGTCTTCTCTCTGCGTCCAAACTTATACTTTCTTTCAGCAAGCATAAATTCAGTATGTTTCCAATATGTCACACATAAAAAAAAAAAAAAAAAAGTGACCTCGGTCCGCCGGAACACCAAGCATGGTGAAGTGCAGTCGGCCAAATTCCAAAACGTGCGAAAGGAGCACCTACACGAAAATCAAGATACACGTTTTTACGCCCGACCGCATGTGGGCTGTCAATGTAAATGGACCCCAAGTAGTTTTTTGTGTCTGTGTCTATTTTGTGACTTTATTCTTTTGGGTAGTTGAATGTAAGTACTGATGGAGGCGAGGGGAGGGGGCAGGTTGTTGTGGACACGGCGGGGTCCTTTTCCCGTCCTCTGCTCCCCCCAGGTCCTCCGCGTGTTCGTTTGAATTCGGGCTGAGGTGAGGTGTGAAATCAGAGGCTGGAAATCGAGAAGTTCTTGCAAGAAGCTTTATCTGAACGTTCAGGGCACCAGTGTGACACAAAAGCAATCGTTGTGGTCAAAGCACAAATGCGCAAAGGCAACATCTCTAGACAAGTCTTATATATGCTAAGCAGGGCGTAACTCCTAATGGATATCTCCCTTTCAGTTTCTGGATGACCGCTCTAATATTCTAATGTTCTTGGCTTCTTATCATTTCTTAATGGAATCATCAAATACTTTTATTTTCGAAAGACACAAAACATAGTGGCAGTGCTTTAATGTTGCAACATTTTAGCTTTTCTTCGAAGTCGTCTTAATGCTGGCTTCCACGAAAACCAAAATTGTTTGCAGGGCCTTCGCTTTTGGTTGGAACAAGGCTGCAAGCACAAAACCGCAAGTCAGCCAAGAGATGCATTTACAGCTTTGTCTGATCTATGTCTGCAAGGGGTATTAACATTATTTTCCGTTGCTAAGGCAGTTCAAGTCAAGGTCATACCATAAGGTTCAAGTGGCGGTCACATTACAAGGTTCAGAGTAAGGTCAAGCTGTAGTCAAAGTCTGTCTGTCCGCAATGAGTAGTTTAAGCTAAACATGCAAACAGATAAATGATGGCTTCAGTACTTAGGTGAACTGTTTTTTTTTTCATGAATTTTTCCATGTACTGTAAGTTGGTTAAATACATTCAACAATAAACGCTGGATTTGCTGCTCATGTGTCATGCCCAATGAATTCTTCACAAAAACTAAGGTCAAAACAAGTTGAGATAATATTGTAGTTTTAGTCATCTATCATTTATGTCACTTATTCAGGGTTCAAGGACTAATTGGGTAAAAATTGTGGCGCACCCATCGCTGATCACTCAAACACAGGACTGACACATGGGATTAACCACAGTCAAAAGTGATATTCTATTAGGACGTCAAAGAGTATTGATAGCAAAAAGTAAAATCTTGCTTCTTGCTGTCTTGACTTCACGCGTCAATCAACGTCAATGACAATAGGGGACGCTGGAGCTTGCTCGGATGCTTCACATTTGAGCGTGATATGGATTGACAACTAGCTTGAATGCGCCTTCAGACTAGTTTTATGATGCAGGTGATTCAGTGTCCATAAATATTTGTTTGTTTGTCTGTTTTTACTGTCTTTTTATATCAACTTGCAAGGACCTACATACATTTGACTGTGCTTATATTTACTGAAAATGCAGATAACAATCCACCAGTACAGAAACCGGGTGCTTTCTGTTCTGTTCCCGCCACCCTTTTCTTTCGGTCTTGCTTACTTCATATTGTGTGGTCTTATGTTTACAATCAACTGAAGCCTCCCGCTGTATTCCCTCTGAAACCTAAAATCATAGAATTGATTACTTACTTTTATGACCGAATACTCCTGGGGGAAGTGAAGGGTCTGGTGCCTGACGATCAACGAGACAATTATGCTTCTGCCATGTCGATCGCGTGCCTCTCCTGAGCTCAATTTAAAGGGAATGCGGGGAGCCACTTCGATTGGCCGGGTAATCAAGTCGGCCGCATCCACTCTCTCAACGGCACCAATTTCTAGCTCTGCCCGTCTGCAAAATTACTAAACGAAAACTCCACCCATGTGCATAATCAGACTTCATTTAATGCTGAGATTTTTCTCTCCACAGTTTTTACACCAATAATGTAAATATAAACCTGAGACGGGACTAGATAAGGACCTCATACTGTAGATGTCTACCCGTCTCTTCTTCTTCCTGATTTGAAGTGAACAAAAACAAAAGACTGTGTAGTATTATGTTGATCTGTAGATGCAAAGACTTCAAGATGACTGGGGGAGGGGGGGGACACTAGTCGGGTTTGCATAGAGCCACGTATTCCAATTAGAATGAATCTGAATAACCAAACAGAAAGAAAATGTTCCATGGTAACACTTCAAATGTAATAAAAAGGCCGAATCCAAATGGGATTTTGTTCGCTTTCACAAAGGTAGGATATATTCTTTTTGCCATTCCGAATGTGCATTCTGTCAACAATTCTATCAGAATAACCCAGCTGCGTCCCGTCTGCACAACCTGTGTCTTGACATGTGTCGTGACGTCGTCGTTTACTCTCTTTACAGTGGCAGCCACATACCAGAACTTGTTTTTGATATTGCTTTGATAAGTGTTAAAACAATCACAACTACCGTGCTAAATGGACGGATGAACTCCAATCTTGCTAAATTATGTTGTGTTTACATTGCCTGATGTCCACGTGTCACACAGCTGATCTTCTTAACGTCGTGGCCCATGGAAATGGCAGATCAGAATACATCAGGTCACTTGTAAACAGGTGATCAGAGATCTTCATTGAGAATGATCGAGATGATCGGAACGACAAAAAAAAAAGTCTCCATGAAGCATTTTTATTGCGTTTAGTGATTGGGAATCCTTCTCATCATAATACATGGCTCCAGGTAAATCCGGCCAGTGATGAGACCAGAAGGCTTCCGAGACAAGTTCACGACGGAAGAGCCGCAGGGAGCTGGAAATGTTTTATACTCACGCTCCTGTGTAATCTTCTCTCCTTTCCATAATAGTTGGAGAAGCAAGCAGTCAAGGGCCGCTGCAGAAAAGCGCACCGCTGCTTGCTGCATAACTTATGATAGAACAGCTGGGCTGTGCCTGATGAGCTGCATGCAACACTGAAAACTTCCAATATAGTGATGTGAAGGAACACATTTTATGCAACGCCAATGTTCTCGATTACCATCTTTGATTTGTTGATTAAGAGCAAACAGTGTTATAATCGCATTGTGACAGTCATGTCTGTCGATATTTATGGAGTTGGAAGGGAAAATTTTGGCTTTCATTTTTCATTTAACATAATTGGTTTTTGATGATTTTCTTCATTTGTAGCAACAGAACTCACTCTGGAGGACCTGAAATCCTAATGACACTCTGTTCTCTTCCTCAACGTGGGTGGCACAATGTCCACATTTTCATCCTGGACCTGTGCAGTTGATATAAAAGGTCTACACAGCCATGTTCAAATGCAAATCTTTTTGTGCGCAACAAACAAGGCCAAGATAAGTTTTAAAACATGAATGTGACCTATGACTTGTACAACTCGTGTAATTTTTAAAAAAAATGCCTTTTTATGAGGGAAGGTCAACATTAAAAAATGAAATAATCTGGTTGCACAAGTTTGCATACCCTCTTATAACTGGGATGTTGCCATGTTCGCAATTATCCAATCAGATGAAAATTCATGTTAAATATGAAACAGTACACGCGGCCATCATTTAAAGTGCCTCTGATTAAACCCAAATCGATTTCAGTTGTTCGAACAGGCTTTTCAGACATTTTGGGGGTTGTTTTAGCAGAAGCTTGAAGGTTTTTGTGCCAAGACTTCACTGGTATTTGGAACTGTTCACAATTCCCTCCACCTCATCTACACCCAGGAAACTGCTTTGGGGAGAGGCCAGCGCCAATAGTCGCAGTGTGCCGAAATGACCCGCACGCAAGGAAATGCAGAATTGACAAATCACGCTTTACTCCTTGTGCCAGTTAATCCAGAAGCTCCATTATGGTGATGTTGAATAGAAAATATGTCATGACCATTTAAAAAATATATCTTCTTCTTCTTCTTCTCCTTTCGGCACGTCCCTATTCAGGGGTCGCCACAGCGAGTCAGTAATTTCCATCCGCCCCTGTAAACCGTCCTACCAACTCGCATGGTCGTCTTGGCAAAAGTTTTATGCCGGATGCCATTCCTGACGCAACCCTCCCCATTTCTTCGGGCTTGGGACCGGCACTGGGGAACAGTGCACCCCCATTTGAAAAAAATATATAATTTAAAAATGTTTACATGAACTAAAAGTGTTCCCCGCTGCCCATCATTTAGTCTGTTACTTAAAAAATATATATAATTTAAAAATGTTTACATGAACTGAAAGTGTTCCCCGCTGCCCATCATTTAGTCTGTTACACTGGCTCCGCTTCAATGCTGGTTTTCACCATGAGCAATCAAGTTTCCGCATACACCGAGGAAATCAGACCCTCAGAGTTGCTCCGCCTAATATGATTGATTTCACATTCGCACCGCAACTGAAGTGGATGTACTTTTTTTGTGTGCTTCCAGGTCTGAAACGGAGCTATACCTGTGAAGTGTGCAGCATGACGTTGAATTCGGTGGCGCAGTACCACGCGCATCTGCAAGGCTCAAAGCACCAAAACAAGTGAGTTGATCACGCTACTGTGGGGTCCAGAAGTAGCGCTCATTTGCATCTTTTAAGAATTGATGTTGATGTGCGAAATGCTAAATGCTGCTTTTCATTTTGGCATGGAAAAGATTCTGGTTGCGTTCATCTGTGTCCTTGAAATCCCCTGCTCCCCAAGAAGGTCTGTGCATTTTAGATACAGTGCATTTCATAGGGCATGCATAAATTATGAGAAAATTGTGGAACGAGGCGATGCTGAGAGTGAAATTTTAGATGGGCTTAAATTGCTGGGGGCACTCTGGTAGACTTCAGTCCCATTCGAGATTGTCTTCTCCCCCTCAAAAAACGGGAACCAAGTATTTCCTGTCGGCTAAAAGTGGGTCAAAAATCTGTAACTTTTTTAATTTTGCAAAAGCTTGTCGTAATTTCATGAACATCAACAAACGTGCTCGAGTGAGTTCCGTCGATTCATCAGTGTCAACAACCAAGCCGTGCAATTAAAGTCTGCAGCTTTTAGGCCTTGTGGAAAAAGGGGGTCGATGCAAATATGAGCTCCTAATTTACAGTTCTAGCGTTATTTAACACTGTTTGTCTATCTAGGCAAATTATAAACTTTACTTTGAAAATCAGAACATAGAGTATGTGCTGCTGCATCATGGAAGAAGTAGTTGTGGTTCGAATATCTGCCTGAAAGTCAGTGTGTGCAGGTCTCCGTTGGAACTGTGGAACTGGAACTCTGTGGAGTTTGCATGTTCTCAGCATGCTTATGTGGGTTTTCTCATAAAATATGAGTTTACTTTGATTTTGCTGTCGAATGCAGTAAATTATATGGCCAGTAAGTAGCTCGTTGGTCGGGATTTGTCTTGAGATTTGGAAGCTCTCGTCTAAACACTCAATGCAGACCACAATATGGAAATTGACCTGTTGAAACATGAAAACAGACTTGTTGCTGGAAAGATTGTCAATCTGCTTCCTTAGCGCATGATCTCTGTAAGCAAGGCACCACCCCGATTTTCTTTTTTTAGGGGGGGTGGGGGGGGGGGGTTAAAGTAGCCAAAGCAGCACCACATCGGCAGTTTGTCTTATTTGACAGATGCTACATGGTTTGCTTCTCCAGGAATTAATTCCTCCTGTGAGGCAGTTTCTTGTCACACACGTCCGTGGGGATGCTGGCATCAGAAGACGTGACATACCGTTTAACAGCTCCTTGCTTTAGTCACGCAGGCCTGCACTGCTTGCTGGAGCCAAGGGGTTTCCATGTACATCTGTTCTTTCGGTCTCTGTCACACACTAACACAGATGCATGAACAGTACCTTGTACTGAGCAGTGTCCCACAGGGGATTCAAGCCACACGCGAACCCCTAAGGCCACCACTTGATCGACAACCAGCTTGATTACCCCCCCCCCCCCATGTAAGCCACAACTAGGCGTCTTTTTTTTCATTCATTTAGTTAATGTACGATAACCTTACAGTACATATCTGATGTCCTTTATCATTTATATATAGATCATTTATACATCCATCAATCCATCCATTTTCTAATCCGCTTATCCTCACGAGGTTCGCGGGCGTGCTGCAGCCACTCGCAGCTGTCTTCGGGCAGTAGCCGGGGGCACCCTGAACTAGTTGCCAGCCAATCGCAAGGCAAACAACCATTCATGCTCACAATCACACCTAGATACAATTTGGAGTGTTCTATTAACCTTCCATGGGTGGTTTTGGAATGTGGGAGGAAACCGGAGTACCCGGAGAAAACCCACTCAGGCACGTGGAGAACATGCAAACTCCACAGAGGAAGGCCTGAGCCGGAGTCGAACCCTACCGCTCTGTACTGTGAGGCAGATGTGCGAACCAGTTTTGACTAGCGTGCCACCATCATTTCTAGATTTATATCTATTTATATATCACGCGCAGTGAGTGCATGGCTTCGCTCTACATGACTGAAGCTGGTCAGCACCATGTGAGGTGAAGAATATATTCATTTGTGATGAAGAGTCAACGATATTGATATATATGTTCATGGTGTGAGACTTCACTTGTGCTTTACTTTAGACTAGGAAACCTAAGACTAGGGTAAACGGTTGAAGCTAACTTTACACAGCAAATAAATATCGCCAGCATTTTTCATGTATACGTAGCTGCAAACGTAGAAGCTCATGCTATTTTGTGTTTCGCCATGTAGAGTAAACACCAACAGCTGAACATTATTTTCACTCACAGATGTTGCTGAGATTGGCTAAACACCATCATGTGATTTGTAGCTTTGTGTGCTATTGTGTGAGATTATTATCATACCCCGCTGCAAAAACTGCTGATTACAGGTTTCCTGATGATGAATACCGGCGACGAAGCCATGAACTTGCCATAAGGCAGACAGCTTTTACTTGCAAAACCCAGGATAATTTTCTCCCAGCCTATCTGCCAAGTCAAGGATGGAAAATCTTGGTGTGGGGGTGGCGGTTATATAAGTTAACCCAAATGTGACAATATCATGCAGATGCTTACACATGCATTTTGGTAAAAGGCGAAATAACTTGAAATTTATTTGGTTGTTTGACTTCACACTTGGAGAGTGGGCATGCAACGTGTAAGCAAATTCTTTTTATCGTAAGTTTTCTACGATATTTTTAAGACGAAGCATGTCACGACAATAAAAAATAATTAAATAGGTTTTGAAAATACGGCATGTGCTAGTATTTATAAATGACCATGCCAGTGAGCTAAGGAAGGTACGAAACATTGGTGACTTAAAAACAAAAAAAAAAAATCTGCATGTGGCTCCTGTGTCCTGAAGTAGAAAACAGCTGAGTGCAAGGCAGAGGCAATTCATAAGGTAATATTGTTCCAGCACTCATCTCCCGTTTAATGACTGTGATTTACCACAACACACTGCCAGAGCTGTGCAAAGTGCCAGGCCATTTTGACACCTTGGAACCATTAGTTGCTCACAAAGGGGAGACAAATGTTCATGACAAGATCATCTCCTAGACATTGGCAGTCCAAGATCAGGTTGGACAAATGACAAAGACCAGCACATGCCTTTGACCATGCACCGTCATTTTCCCTATCATCAAGCCTCAAAATAACACGAATGCTGTCTGTGCAGGCAAAGATTTTGTAAATCTCCGAGGTACTTCTTACTTTTCAGACATCACCAAGTGGTAAGAATGTAAAGGTTCAAAATTATGTCGGATCAAACTTATTCATTGAAAAAGAATTGAGCATGACACAAAGAATCCTGAAAATCCGAATAAAGTAAACACTGCAACCAAAACAGCATGAAGAAGGCGCATGCACCTCCTCATTTTTAGCCAGCCATCCTATTGCCATTTATTGGCCAATGAATCAAATTTGCAACCCACGCTTCCCAACATTCCAGGGCAGTTTGCTACGCCACAGTAAATGTGTCCATTGTGTTTACACCCAGGCCAAGGAGTAGTGTAAGAGGGATAGCCGTCTTGGCCAGATTAATACAACAGGGGGACGTAAACCAGGGTGTAAATCACCACTTGATTAAAGGGAAAGAAATGTGACCTGGCACAGAGATATCTACTGAAAAGTGTTCGTAAATAAACCCCTAAAGCACCTCTAAATCCTTTCTCTGTTATCATGCACACTCCAGTATTATGACAACACAGTGTCCACTGGTTCCTGCATCATTTAAAGGGCTGTAAGGCAAGGCAGCTTTCTTTACATTGGGCATTTCAGACACGAGGTCACTCAACGTGATTCATATCATTAAAAGAACAATATTAAAAGCATTTACAAACAAAAGAATAAGGGATGTCCCGATGCGATCACATGATTTCGGGTTTCGAACCCAATAACATTGTTTTCAAATGATCGGGCATCAGGGCAAAAAGATTGTTTTTCTTCATTTTCTGCAATTTTACAATCCAAAACTTTAAACATCTTGTCAAATGGCGCAGTAATAGCTTTGTATTTTATATTACAAGTGAAAGTGAATGAATGCCCAAAAGAGGATAGTTTTGTACTTTAGATACATAAAATGTCCCCCAAAACAATGACTGGTAATTTTAAAGAAAGACATATATATCCCAAAATAGCATTGCATAAAATTATTGGCAATTATCTTTTTTCCACTTCTTCAAAAAATACATACTGGTATTTTGTATAGAACAACATACAATAAACTAAATGGAAATAAATAAATAAATAACCCAGTGGCCAGAAAAAGTGCCGATCAATATCTATGGTTATGCAAATTCTTTTGAAGGAATACAGTGAAGTACAAAGGATTAAATGAACGAATACAACGGTGCTTCAAGTAACAATTAGGAATACCAACAATTTCGCCAGAGTTTGTCACCGTTTAATTCAACTGTGACGTCTCAGTGTGAACACTGGGTGTCATGACATACGTGACAGAAGAAGAAGTCTGTCTTGTCATAGGAATCTGTTGCGCTGGAAATATCAGTCACAAAAAAAAAAAAAAAAAAAACAGACTGATTGTTGAGAATTGCAGTAAAAATAATATTATATTTGATGATGATAATAATAATAATAATAACAAGTAATGTCATATCTAACTTTATTGGGAGGCGAATGCACGCCCAAGAAGTAGATGGCAGTTAATTAATTGGCTTAAAAAAAGAAAAACATGACTAGCCTCTGACATCTCATGAGCTACTACAGTAAGTGACCTGCTTGAGCAACTACAGACACTATGCATGCATGTCCCTTGAATTTCTTGTTTTTCCATCCTTCTATTCTCGCTGCCACCTGATCCAGTCTGCACTCGTTCCAAACACTTGACTCATGGCTCATCGTGCACATGGCTCAGTGTCTCATTATCCTTTCCTTTCTCTGTGCCTTTTGATTAGCGGGCGGACGTTTGGTTGAGCAAGTGAATGATTAAAAAAATAAATAAATACTGCAGGAAGGTGACTGGAGTGCCATTCAGACCCTGCGGTTGCACTGCCAGATGGATCATTTATGTTTGTAGACCAGTGGTAGACAACTGGCAACACGCAGTCCACATGTGGCCCCTTTTCACACTTTGACTGGCCCTTTTATTAATTTTCCCTCCCAGGGAACACCGGGGCTTCATGTAATGGGGAGGGGGACAAATGATTCCAAAATATTGAAAAAAAACATGGAAAATAAACCTCAATCTGCAAATTTGCAGGTGCTAAACTGCAAATGGATCGACTGCATTTTAAGCACCATTCACCACAACATGGTGGCTTGATTGCACTTATTTTCCCCTGTACTGCAACATGAGTAAGCCTAACAAGAATAGTCAATAATAATTGATAATATTACAATTTTGAGTGAGTTGGCTTTTGTGTAAAAATGTACAAAGTGAATTGTTGCCCTTTATGTTTGCTGTTCAGTAGTTTTGTGTTATTCTTGAATCGTAATTTTTATGCAAGAGAGCCCTTGGCAGTGAAAAAAAACAACAACAAAAAAAATCACAGGACTTTGTGTGGTTGTTTTGCTGTTTGCTTCAAAGCCTTTCTTGGTGGGTTAGGATAGTGGATTGTTTATACATGCATTAAGAGTTGAGAATTGAATTCTGAAAACTGAAACTAAGATCACGTATTTTGTACATATGCACGAATCGCACCAAATTTGTATCATGGCATTTTTGTCAGACGTCTGAAGGAAGTGCGTGGTCTTATGTGGCCCCTGAGTATCACCGATGGAAAAATGAGGGGGCCTTCAGCATTTAAGTTTCCCATCTTTGCTGTAGGACGTGCAGATCCTATACCTGGCGCGGTTCGGACACGGGTAAAATAAATTACAATGAAAATTCATTTATAGAACTTACATGAATTTTCTACATTTGGAAAGACAATTTTGTCAAGCGTGAATCTTGAATATCTACCAGTCAATGCAGACTACATTATATTAGATGGTCTCAATAGGCAAATTGCATTACAGTGCCGGACTATGGTGGCTTTCTACTCATTATTAGGACATTTTGACCAAGGCATTTGATTTGATCTGCACAAAATTTGGGGATTTACAGATGTCTGATTTTAACTGGTGCAGACTTGTGGCAGCATTTCTGTCATTATGGTAGTACCTTTCTGCACACAGGACAGGTTTTCCCCCAGAAAACCTGCTAAGCCTGCTAGTAGAGAGGCTGACCAAGTCATCATTGAAATGTCTTTTTTTTTTCAATGTACCGGTACTGTATTTACATTATTTATTGGTGAACTATCTCGATAAACCGTTTTTTTTTTTTTTTTTTTGAAATGCCACTGTAATGTTCGAACAAAAATAATTAAAGTAAATCCTTTTTAAGGGCAATTAGCTTTCAATTCTCAAGAATATGGAACATCTGCCAAGAACATTAAAAGCTTAGATAATTAAAAAAAGTCTAATAATATTAAAAAAGAAAAAAAAGGACTCCGGTTCTGTTAATGTAATATTGGTTGTTCTGTGTTACTAAGTGGATTAAAACTATTTTTTTCTTATGTCATTAGTAAATCATGATAAATGCTTTTGTGAATGCTTTATCTTTGAATATATCAGCGATGTAACTTTTCCTGTTTCTCTGCTCCCTCGACAGCCTGAAGAATCAAATAAGTGTCCAGTGAATGTGAGACAAAACAACTACGCTGAACTGATGTCAGACAAGCTGTGGTCAGCTTGCCCTAGTTTTTTTTTTTTTTCTTCACCTGCTCTGCGAACTGTCTTCATTGCCTCGTATGTCTTTCACCATGAGTTTGGCTGGCCTGGAAAATGAAGGACTTGCTTTTCTTTTCTACTGCAGCACTGCATCAGCTTTCTCATCTGAGAGCGATGGGGCGGGTGGGTGATCACGGGTAGTTGGGAGGTCCACATACGACAAAACAGTGACAAGATTTTCTTTGCATGGCTGGCCATCCAAGCTGTTTAAACTGTTCATTTTCTGCCGCTAGTCAAACAGAATTAATATCTGTTGCTTAGTGGCAGCGTTTCTGCATTCAATGGATTATAGGTTCTTGTTTGCATTACAAAGGTATGCTGTGATACCTTTAACTTCTTGAAAATAAATATGACATGTTTTAGTGATGAAATAGACGTATATTATTTATGTATTTATCCTTTTCTTATTCGGATTTTGGATATTTGGTTGAATCTTTTTGCATTAAATGGCAATATGTTTGGACGGATTGTGTAAATTGTCGTTGCAGACTCTAACATTTGTGCAATGTAAGAAAACGTGAAATTGTCTAGAGGTGAGTCAAATAAATGAAACTGCTGCATCTACTTTGTACATTGAACCTAAACTTCTAAGGTCAAAGAAACGACCGACATCACGCAATAAAAAAAATTGATGAGAGTATACAGTGACGGAATGTGTACAAATCCTAACCCGATGGCTCAACAAGTATTTTTGTCAACAGATTTCCACTGTGAATGTCTGAATGTCTTGCGTTCATACCAGCAGTTATTTTGTGTTAGCTTCAAAATGTACTACTTAAAGAATCATTGCATTCCATGAGTGAAGTGAAAATAACAGTGTGCATGTTTTCCCCTTGCTTGCGTGAATGTGTGTGTGCGTGTGTACATAGTCATACTACTGTCCATAATATGTAAATGTATTTACATCCATCCATCCATTTTCCGATCCGCTTTATCCTCACAAGGCGGGTGCAGGAGCCTATCTCAGCCGTCTTCGGGCAGTAGGCGGGAGACATCTGAACCAGTTGCCAGCCAATCGCAGTGCACACAGAGACGAACAACCTATTCGCGCTCATATTCATACCGAGGGACAATTTCAAATGTTCAATCAGCCTCCTATGCATGTTTTTGGAATGTAGGAGGAAACCGGAGTACCCGGAGAAAACCCGTGCGTTTTGGATGCTGTTTTTAGTTTGTATTTTGGATGTTGTTTTTAATGAAGACATTTTGTTTTGAATCTTAAAATTTTATCACATATGCCCTGAATGACCTCATCACACACACAAAAAAATCTTTGACTGCTGATAATGTTATGATTGAAGACTAGAAAGATATCAACGCACTGGCAGAAATAACGGAATACTTTTCAGTTATGACCTCATATGCAGCGACCTGGGAAGAGTGAGGATATTGCCTCTTGGGGAGTGGCTATGAAGGCCCCCCCTGTTCAATTTTTTAAAAATCTGGCCCAGCAACAGGGCCACTGGACTGCTTGTCCAACCTCTTTTTGTCCAAGCAGATTGAACTGATTTGCATCGTGTGCTACAATTGCTTTTGCTCTTACGCAGGAACAGGGCGTGTGTGTGTGTGTGTGTGTGTGTGTGTGGGCCTTGTCCAGTCTGCAGCAAGCTCTTACATTCACTTGTATTGAGGTAACTCTGTTTGGCTCCAATAAATTCATCATAACTCATTGAATTGTTTACCGGTTTTGACATGGATTGTTTTGTTACAAGTATTAGACATGCAGTTATGATACCAGATAGCAGACAGCTTTAGGCTTTATTTTTGCGTATTTTTTAGACAAATTCTTAAAAAAAAAAAGTGTTCTGCAAACCAAAAACAACAACCCAACAACAATGACCTTGACCATATTTGAAATATTTTTTTGTTTTTCTTTGCCCATTTTCTGGCACATATATTATTGGCCAATGTGAAAATGAAAACAGATTTTCTTTTATTCTTCTATTTTTGTGTTCATCTTTTTAGATCTGACTCAATAGTAGTGCTTCACCAATCATGAACCACACCGCATGTCACACTGGTTTTATCAAATAAAAGTAGAAGTAAAAGTGCTTTTATTGTGATGTTAATGTTATTCTTAAAAAAATATCACAACAGTATTTTGTCATTAATTACTGATTCCCACGCCCATGAGGTACTTTGGGCGGCTATGCCATCTTCGGTTGTTTTAACATATTTTTTCTTTGCTGCTACTATGGCCTGTTGTCTGAATTACGGTGCATCTAGCACGTTGGTATCCTTTTGATAGTGAGGAATGTGGTTTCCTGAGATGGTATCATCTTGAATCCACTGGCTGAGTAAGATAAGAACTTTGAAGAGTTGGAGCCTGCAGGCTGGAGAACATCTGAGCCGGGGAAATCTGTGGGGGTTGATGCATTTCAGACTCTGCCTTTGAAGAAAACCATGATTATTTCAAGAACCAGTGCTGTAAATATGTTGATTTTTCTTCCTTCATACTTCTCAGCTCACTTGGGTGAGGGTGAAAAATATTCTCTCTCTCTCTCTCTCTCTCTCTCTCTCTCTCTCTCTCTCTCTCTCTCTCTATATATATATATATATATGTATATATATATTTTTTTTTGGGCTGGGGGGATTCCCATCAAGTGCAAGTCCCCTGTGTATACCTCAGTGTATAAAAAATCTGTAATTGCTTTTTTTCCAGGAGTGAAGATGTTGTATTCTAAAGTATGGTGTGTATGTGGCACAATTTACTATTAAGAAAATGTACAGCTATGATCTAAAAAATTTAAAAAACATCAGTTCAGACAGTATAATATTCAGTCCAGCCTTCAACTCAGCCATAGTAAATCACATTGTACTGTCGTGAGCAGAAGAGGTAGTGGAACAGATCTTTCTTTCTATGTAACACCTAATCCATTCGTCTCTGTTCCAAATACTTCCCTGAAACGAATTTGAGGCGAAATAAGACGTCTGCTTTCCTGAATTCCAAAATTAGACATGATTAAGCCTTTTGTTGGATCTTGAGCTTTAATCCATCTTCTGATCCACCTCGTTACACAGACCCATTATTGCCTATTCATGAAGGAAATTGATTTCTCTTTGCATACAAAGTGGATGAAAGTTATCTGGGAAACAATATGAATAAATATTTAATGTCATTTTAACAGAGCATTTTTGGCATCTCAATTTCCTTTGGCTGGAACAGTCTTCTCCTTTTTACTTTATTGCTGTGAGAAATGCTAACTGCGAGGTCTTCTGAACATGCAGATGCGCATTCACATGAGCCGACGAGGACACGCACATTAAACAAGGCCTCGTTGAGGACAAATAAATAATTTGCTCAGTTTCATGAAGCCAAGCGTACCGGGAATGGAGAATTTGATTGCATGCATTTACAATGCATCATCTTTTTGCATTGTTTCTGTTTTAGGGCATTCTCTGTTTGCCATCAGGCCATCACACTGACATGCATGCAAAAGCAAAGAATATATATTGTAGATAGCAGACTTAAAATGAAATTTCCCTTCTAGGTTAAAAGCAAAAAACAAAAAAAAGAGATTAAAAAAATTGCATTAAACTCCTAACTACATAATTTTTTTCCTTTTTTCACACCAGATCCTCAAATTCTTACCCAAATCTACTTCGACATAGTTTTATGAGAAAAATGACCCTGGATTGTCATCTCTGTAATTGTAACCAGTTAAATTCCGTGTAATAAGTGCTTCATTTCACTTCTCTTTCAATTTGGCAGACTGTCTACTTACTGTAGAATACGGCAGGTCGATCGAAGCCTGGATGGATACTTTGTCAAGTGCGCAGTCAGTGAATAACAGGTGCAAACTGCACTCAGTTGTCAAACTTTGTGGAAGCGTTTGCACTGGTATGTCATTACCGCAATATCCTTTGTGAATAGGATGATAAGGAGCAAATTGCCATTCAAATTGCTGTCAGTGGCCACAGTTCATTCTTTGTGGATTTGGCCCGCCGTGTGTGGTGACCTTGAAATCAGGGTGTCCTTGTCAAATATGGCAGTGTGCTCATTCTCCCATCGATTTACGCGTCTTTTCCCTTATGCGCAGCTGAATCTGAACAAAGTGATGACTGTTATCGGCCAACTCGAATGATTCAGGGCGGCGGCAGGGAACTGCTGGAGCAGGATCGAGGACTGGTGCTGCTGAGGAGCCGGGACAGGGGCTTGTAATTGCCAAGGCGCGGAGTTGAGGGCCTGGTGCTCTCGAGGCAGCGAGAAGGGGGCCTGCAACTCCCGAGGAGCCGGTACGATAGCGTGTAGCTGCAGAGGTGCCGACACGGGGCCTTGCCTCATCAATCTGCCACCATAGGGATTGGGGACCACAGGAGACATAAGGAGCCAGAAATACAGGTATTGGGGAAGGTGAACAAGAAGAAACATGATGAATTAGACGAGATGACGATGTAGACAGGGAACAAGGTGATGAAAAAGGAGTAAGTGGCTTGGGGGCAGGTTCAGAATGGCGCGACTTGTGTTGGTAGGAACCAAAACCTTTACCTGGGAGCCCACGTTGGCCACGCCGCAGAGGTCCCTGATAAATTCGGCCATTCGGGCACCCAAATAAATCTCTGAAGGGAAGGTTCTGGGATGAACACTGAGGGATGATAATCTGAAAATATGACAAAAATTGCCAAGGTCTTGAGTAACGACTGGGGAAGGGAGCAGAAACCCCAAATTAGCATCAAAATCGGAATTGGAATCAGAAAGGAGGTTAAACAAATTGGGGCCATCTTCACAATCAGAAAAAATCTTGAGTGTAAATAATTTGACTCCGATTTAACAGAAAACCACAACAATAGAGGGTTATATGCAAATGATTACACATACATAAAATACAGTACAGCATAAATTGCACGGCGGAGGGGACACACATGCACGTACAATGCACTTGGACATGCAAACATACACATGCACAACACACTCACAGAACTTATTGTTTCACTTCTGTTCAAAGTTCGTGTCATCAGTTCAGTAGCATGCAGATAAATATTTTTGCTATCAAAAGCCCTTTTGTGCTGTTGGTTATGTTGTTTTGTAGAAGGAAAGTCTTTAATTTAAATATTTGAGATGTCACTAAAGCAAAGAACAGCTGTGACGTACTTAAAATGATGTTTGAAATGTATGCTTTTTTTTTTTTTAACAAACGTGGTTTACAAGGTCTTTTTCTAGTTTTTTTTTCCTCCAAAAATGGAAATCCAATGCAATTTAGCTATTTTCTAACGCTGATTGCTAAAGAAGGGAAAACCTTTTTCTTTTCAAAAAGAAGAGAGTGCCGTCTTTCTTTTGGTAGAATTCATGTTTATATCGCCGTCAAACACGACAACCTGTTGGCCTTGCAAATCAGTCCAAATCCAGTAAAACGGCTGGGATTGAGGAGCTTGCTCCAGTGAAAATGGCTGGGATTCAATGAGTTCACCTTCATTCAACGCACTCTTTCGATATGTTTAATCATCCCCGTTTGTGTAAAATAATTTTTCTTTGACACGAGGCCATTTGCATTTGTATGTAATTGTTGTAATTTTTAAGTAATTGATACGTTTGTGTTAATACCACACTACAACATCGGTTGCCACAAGATGACCGGGTGCTTAATTTACAGGGAAGATGCAGCGTTTCATTTGAAGATT